TGGATGATTCATTACAGATGTGTTCACTTGTGTTATCTTTTACTAATATTTAAATTTGTTTGATGATCTGAAACATTAAAGTGTGACAAACATGCAAAAAAATAAGAAATCAGGAAGGGGGCCAACACTTTTTCACACCACTGTATATATGCACCAGTCGAGTAACTGACTGATATTGGACATTTTGGCATAACGGACATGGTAGTTTTCCTTTATGTTTGCTCTAAAAACACCAGCCCTGTAAATGATTAATAATCATTTGTTTTCTGGTTTTAATTATTTATTGGTTTATTGTTTTTTTTCAGGTTTTAATTATTTATTGCATAATATCATTAAATACTGTGCAAAAGATAGAATTTACTAGTACCTTTATTGTTTTGTTTTGTTTTGCTATACATTTCTAGGTCTTCACCAGCAGAATTATATAAATTATATGTTGCCTAAAATAAAAATTTTATTTTTTTAGGACCACTACAATGTCATTATTATTGTCATTATTTCCATGCCAAATAAGCCCCCCAATATATATATATATATATATATATATATATATATACACATCAATTACAAAAACACAACAAAACTTGATTATTGACTGATATTAAAATGAAATGGAAAATATAAAAATCAAAACTGAATCAAAATATTAATGATGGCAATAAAAGTGGGGATTATTTATCATGCCACCAAAGGGGTTTGTGGTTTTAAAATCATGTTAAAATATTAATATATTTCAAATTTTCTTTAAGTATAAATATATGTGATTATAAATACAGTTTCTGATATGTTCTGATGAGTTAACTGTCACCAACAACATCTCTTTTTCTGTGCCTCAGGATCCCAAAGTTTTCATTCATCTTTATGAGAACATGAAACCACCTGCTAGTACTGTAGAAGCCTGGGGCAACGTGGACGGACGCTGTGGCGTCTGCTCCACTCACTTTAGCCAGCTGAAGCAGGAGGCTATCTGCACGATCCTCACCCAGGACCGGGCCATATGGGCTCCACCTACCACTGCCAACATCCCATCCACAAGCCTAGACTCAGGCTCACAAACGCTCCCTAGAACCTCAATCCACCGATCTGTTCTCTCAGACCCCCATCAAAGCCCCATCAATGCAGCACCGGATTGCTGGATTAAAGGACGTCAACATTTGGTAGGCCAGTTTTTTATTAAATTTTTTATGTATTTAATAACATATTGCTCATAACACAACCAAATACAGAAACACGCTGCAAATACACACAACACGACCAAATACAGAAACATGCTGCAAATACTCACAAGACAACCAAATACAGAAACGTGCTGCAAATGCGCACAACACAACCAAATACAGAAATGCACTGCAAATACTTGTAACACAAACAAATACAGAAACGCGCTGCAAATACGCACAATACAACCAAATACAGAAGCACGCTGCAAATACTCTCAACACAACCAAATACAGAAACGTGCTGCAAATACTCGTAACACAACCAAATACAGAAGCACGCTGCAAATACTCTCAACACAACCAAATACAGAAATGTGCTGCA